TTTACTGTCTTTGAGCAATAATGGCACTGCTGTCAACTATTCCTTTCCGAACCTCCAGTCTTTAAAATTCTCTTCTTGCAACATATACAAGTTCCCAAGTTTCTTAAGGAAGGCAAAGAATTTGCAACAATTGGATATTTCTAAGAATAACATTTCTGGTCAAATTCACAAATGTGAAATAGAAGGGATGTCATTGCATACCTTAAACCTTTCTTATAACTTCTTGACTGGTATAGATTCATTTGGTTTTGGAAAACTTGAAACTGTTGACCTCAGATCCAACTTACTACAAGGATCACTCCCCATTCTATCAACAACTTGGTATTCTATGCAACAACTCTTCATTTCAGGGAATGATTTGAATGGCGAAATCCCCTCTTCTTATTGCAATATGACTTCTCTTAGAGTTCTGGATTTAGCTTATACTAGTTTGGGAGGAAAAATTCCAGAATGTCTTGGAAACTTGAGAAATCTCACCTTCTTGGATCTGTGGATGAATAAGTTTCATGGTAGAATACCAAATTCTTTTGTCGACAAGAGCGAACTGAGAACTCTTACCCTAAATGGCAACCAATTGGAAGGTATACTGCCACGGTCTTTGGTTAATTGTAGTAAGTTGGAAATTCTAGATGTGGGGAAACAACTTAAATGATGACTTTCTAGATTGGTTAGGTGTTCTTCAATTGCTAAAAGTTCTCATCCTTTGATCTAATGGATTTCATGGTTCTATCAACAATTCTATGCCTGCATTTTACTTCCCTCAGTTGAGAATCATTGATGTCGCGCAAAATGATTTTTTGGGTCTCCTACCGAGTAACTATTTCAAAAATTTGAAAGGTATGAGAGATGTGGCTTAAGCTGATAAATTGGAATACATTGGTGAGGAGCATTACATTGGTGACGAGCAATACATTGGTAACAAGTATTACCCGCAAAGATGTGCTCCACGTAGATGCCCAAGTCGTCATCCGTTTTATTATAAGGATTCTGTGAAGGTAGTAATGAAAGGCTCAGAGAGGGAGCTTGTAAGGATCTTGAAAATTTTCACAACTATAGATTTCTCGAGCAATCAGTTTCATGGATTGATTCCTGAAGAGTTAGGAGAACTCAATTCACTTTTATTGCTAAACTTATCTCACAATAGTCTCAATGGTCAAATCCCATCATCGTTGGGGAAATTAGTAGAACTTGAGTCATTAGATCTCTCATCAAACAAGCTTGAAGGCGGGATTCCTGCGCAATTGACAGATCTGACATTCCTATCAGCTTTGAATCTTTCACACAATGAACTTGTGGGCCACATACCTGAAGGGAGGCAATTCAATACTTTCTCAAATGATTCCTACATTGGGAACTCTAGGTTGTGTGGATTTCCATTAACAAAGAAATGCCACAACGAGAAAGAACCAGGAGCACCTCCATCACAATTTGATGAAAAAGATGACTCTACAGCACTCTTTGAGTGGAAGTTTGCATTGGCAGGCTATGGGTGTGGACTGGTGTTGGGACTTAGTTTGGGATACAATGCCTTCACTACAGGAAATCCATGGTGGGTGGTGAAGAAAGTGGAGAAATACCAACAGAAATTAATTGAAAGGTGTAAGCAAAAGCATGAGAAGAGAAAAACCCAAAAACCCAACCAACGCTTTTAGGTGAGTAAGTTTCTACAACTGTCTCTATAAGATTTGTGTTCTATCTAAGTTCTAACCATAAAAATCAAGGTATATTATACAATAGTTAAACATAATTTTTCTACTTTTGCTTTATTTTACATGGGTGCAAGCAGGTGCAGTTGATTTCTTACTGCGGGGAGATCTGGCAATAGTTGTTTCTTGTGTTTGTTTCCATCTTTTTCATGTTTATTGTTAATATACAGTTGTGTTGACTTGTGTGGGAATTATGGTTATGTATGAATTTGTGTTAATTTCTTTTGGATTTCATCTATGTACTTTGCACCTAGTTGCTCATGTATTTTTCTTAATGTAGTTTGTTTCCTTTGATGTTATCTCTTCGTATTTTCTTCTCTCTTCCTTTGTTTTGTTTGTCTTTGAACGGTGCATTTTACTGAAGTAAAATGTAAAAATTCTTTAATTTTTGGACCCCCAAACATCTCCTTTCACCATATTTCTTCGATCGGTGGGGAAGCAGAGACGCATCTGACGAATCTTGGATGACAGCTAAGCGATTTCGGGGAGGATTATTACTTAAGAGGGCTGGGTGAGGGACGATCCCAACCTCCGTTGCTCTCAGGAGGCCCACCCTCTAGCCATCGCCAAACTCAAGTCTTATTCTTTGGCTGGCGATCTGATTCATAGGCAGGTAATTTTCCTTGGTGTTTTCCTTCTATTTGGAGATACTAATTTCTGTCTTAAAGGGGAAAGCTATAATTTTTTTTGCGTCGAATAAATTAATGTGTTTTGCCTCTACTACTTAAACTTAAAAATTTTAGATATTTCTATGCCGCACATGCTAAGGTTGAGATAAGATGTTTCTGTCTCTTAAAAACAACATATGTAGGTTAGCATTAACATATGTAAGTTCTAGGTCTCATTTGTAAATGTTTATTTAAATTTTGAGGTGTATACATTGTATTTATGGCTAGTCAGTATAGGTTGTCGATGGAAATTTTTGCCGAGATAAATTAGAGTTATATTTGTTGTTCTTTCTGTGAACTCATCAATGGATATTTTTCTTACAAATGGTATATCCTATGAGCATTCTAGATTGAGAATCTGTGGAGCTAAGAGAGAGATGACCTAATATTACATCCTCAGGAAAGGTTTCTGTTGTCATGGCTGAAGTAATTACTTGTTTTCATGGCTTTGATATTCAGGTACTTATTTTGCAGTCAAAGGCTGAGAGTTATTCTTCAATTGAAACATGAAAAATGTCTTTACTTGTTATTGCCATTGATATTTTTCTTACAAATGGTATATCCTATGAGCATTCTAAATTGATAATCTGTGGAGCTAAGAGAGAGATGACCTAATATTACATCCTCAGGAAAGGTTTCTGTTGTCATGGCTGAAGTAATTACTTGTTTTCATGGCTCTGATATTCAGGTACTTATTTTGCAGTCAAAGGCTGAGAGTTATTCTTCAATTGAAACATGAAAAATGTCTTTACTTGTTATTGCCATTGATATTGCATTTTCTTATGAATTATTTCTTATATCTAATGAGAAGATAAGATAAAGAAGGTTGTGTCTGATGGATGTTTTTCTTTTTGTGTCACATTCCTCAAGGGAAGGTAATTCATTTATGAAGAATGTAAACTGTTCCATTAAGAAAATTGTGTAACTACCTAAATTTATTGTCAGTTCTATTTAACAGTCTGTTTCATTAAGGTCAAGCACTTGAATTTGTTTAGCAACCTCAATTTACTATAAGTTCTATTTGTGGCATTTCTCATTTTTCTGCTAGCTATGTTGTATTATGTGCCAGACCCATTTTCCTACTTTTTCTTTCTAATTTTGCTCTGTGCACTCAGCAAAACTATGTATTACTCTGGGCCTGGATTAACACATAGAGATTTCTTATTGGTATGAGATTTAGTTAATTAAAGTGTAATGGAAATTGCAAAAGTAGTTAATGCAGGTCTTATGTGTTTTTGTTACATTAAGGTGTCAAGGTGATTTTGATACTGTGTTGCTGTCTATTCATCGTGGATGCTATTGCTTTTTAAATATTATTTTCCATTTAGCCTTTGTGGGATTAACACTCTTCTTTTAGTTGTCTTAACTCTTATTTGTTCTTATTTGAAAGCCTTTTGAATGTTTTATTGATTTCATCACAGTTTTTCCTTTCATGCTTTTGGCAGATCACTGCAGAAATGGGGAAACTCACCTTGTCTCAGAGCGGTACATTGTCTACCGTAAGCAGTTCACTTGGCTGTATATTGCTGCTCTCAGACACTTGGGCACTTGTTGATGCTCCTGTAGAAGGTTTGTTCAGTCCGAGTTATTTTGAATATCTTTAAACTAGGAAGCTATCTTAATTGAATAATGGATTTCATTTACTCTTTCATGGATATAATTAATTAACGCAAGCTGCTTGTTCTTGGAGATGTTAATCAACAAAGGTTGTCTGGGTGAAGTTCCTCTTACTTTGAACCAACAAAGAATGACTATTGCTTGGAATTCTTGAGCTATATATGCATGATCTTTAAGATATGTTTAGATTGGAAAAAGAAGTCCATAGATTGAAATCAATTTTCTTTTAAATATAATATGAAAATCTGTCACCCACTGGATTTATTAACTGGAAGTTTTTGTATGGAAATGGGGTCCCACTAGTTTAGCCACTGAGTGCTTTTGTTATATTACTATTGCTAGTTTAGTGCTTTTAATTAATATTTTGTGTTGTTGCAGAAACCACTGACATAATCTTCCTCCATTGGTGGAACTCTAACGTGATTCCTTGTATAATTAGAGCTAACTACTTGCAGATGGATTCTATAGAAGTGCTTCAAATGGTCTAAAGTTTCGAGTAATTATGGCTACCTGATTTCAAAAAAAACATAATTTAAGAATACAAAAGAGTTATTTCCCTGTTTCATTTTTAGTTATTCTGCTTTCTCTTTTCCAATGAAAAATGGAAACTTTTTGAATTTACTTTAGTATTTGAATTCAGCTGCTTTCATTGTTGGGCAATCTGTGCGGTCACCATAGGAGATGATGCTGTGATCTTAGCTTTCAGGTGAGTAAGTTTGTTGTGTTTTGCAATAATATATTAAGCAACTCATTTCATAATTGATCATAGAAAGAATTTATGCTTTTATCAAGAGTTCTTGGAAGTTAAAAGATATAATTCTTTTATCAAGGATCTAAATTGTTCCATTAAGAAAACAGAAACAATCTTAGAAGATTAAGTTCATATAACTGAACTTTATTTCTCTTTGCACTTCACTAACATCATAATCAGTGGCGGAGGGAGGGAGGCCCCCTGAAATTTGAAAATCTTTGTAAATTAGTATATGAAAAATTGTCTCACTTCCTCTAAAATTTAAAAATTTTGTAAATTAGTATAAAAAAAATTATCTCGTCCTCCCCGAAAAAAATCCTGGCTCCACCCCTGATCATAATGACATTTTTTTGCAATGTCAATTTACTGTAAGTCTATAAGTTATATTTGTAGTGTTTCTTACTTTGTAGCCAGCTACATTTCCTGTTTTAGACTTTTAGTGCCCAATTTCCTGCTTTTCCTTTTCATTTTGTTCTGTGCACCCATTGATGCTTTTATACGTATGGACCTGTATCAACTAACAGAAGTACTTATTGTTATGAGATACAGTTAAAGTGTAATAGAAATAGGGAAAGTAATTTAGGCAGGCCTTACTTGTTTCTGTTCATGTGTTGTTTGTGTATTAGTTAATTGTCATGGTAGCTGTTGCATTTTGATAATTACTATGATGATTCTGTGATAGTAATGGTGAAAGGTTCAAAGGTGGAGCGGAAGAGAATCCTAACAATTTTCTCAACTACTGATTTTTCTAGTAATAGATTCCGGGACACATTCCTGAAGAGCTAGGAGAACTCAATTCACTTCATTTGCTAAACTTGTCTCACAACAGTCTCATTGGTCCGATTCCATCGTCTTTGGAGAAAATAACAGAGCTTGAAATACTAGATCTATCATCAAACAAGCTTGATGGTAGGACTCCTAAGGAGCTGACAAGTTTGACATTCCTTGCAGTTTTGAAGCTTTCACACAACAAACTTGAAGGTGACATTCCTCAAGGGAAGCAGTTCAATACTTTCTCAAATGATTCTTACATTGGGAACTCTGGGTTGTGTGGATTTCCGTCAACAAATAAATGCCACAAAGAGGAAGAGCCAGGAGCACCTCCATCAAAATTTGATGAAGAAGGTGACTCTACGGCACTCTTTGAGTGGAAGTTTGCATCGGTCGGATATGGGTGTGGACTGGTATTGGGACTTAGTCTGGGATACATTGTGTACACAACAGGAAAACTATGGTGGGCGATGAAGAAGGTGGAGAAATATCAACAGAAATTTGTTGGAAGGTGCACCCGCAGGCAAAAGAAGAGCAAAACCCAAAAACACAACCAACGCTCTTAGGTGAGTTTCTACTTTCTACAGCCTCTTTTTATTTATGCTCCTTCTAATCACAACAATGGATAGAATAGTCGCAATAATTTTTGTAGTTTTGCTTTCTTTTCCACAGCAGAAGCGGCAGGCAGTTGGCTTTCTTTCTTCCTCCAAGAAGATCTGAAGAAAATAATGTGTGCATGAACTTAATTATTTGGCTGCAGAAGCTGCAGGCAGTTGCATTTCCTTCTCAGATTCTTATGTCTTTTTTAATATTTGTAGAAAATTTTGGCTAAAAACTTAATGTTTTCTATGTTATCACTTTTCCAAGTTTTCTTCCATTCCTTTTAACGGTGCGTTTTAATGAATGGAATGGCATTTTTTTTTTTCTGAT